ACATGAAAATAATAATAAAATGCCATGGCAGAAGCGTACATTGACAACCAGTACCCATTCGCAATTGCGTTCCCAATATCAGTCCCTGTTTTCAAGAAGCCGAATTGACTGGAGAAGAGGATCTCCCCTGCTACATCAAAGGACGTGAATGTGAAATACTTGTCTAGATTAACCTGTTCCCCTGTTTGGGAAAAACGGTCGAGGTGGCTGAGAAGCAAGGAGATGACGTTGTCGACCTGGGGTTCTGACCGTAACACGTTGGTGAGGGCGTACCCCGAGGCAAAAGCCTTGCTTTTTCCCATCTTCTTCTTTGGGTCGGTGGTGGCCATGGGGCTTTGGAAGCGGTAGTCTGGGATGGCGGTCATGCGGTACCAGGGACCTTTTCTGAGGTGAGAGTTTCCGAGGATCTTTTTGATGGCGTCGGGGTGGGAGACGGAGACTTCGTTGTGGGCGAGGCGGACGAAGTGGCCGTGTTTTTTGTGGAGGGAGATGAGTTGGGTGTTTTGGTCGCCTTTGAGGATGTGGCGGATGTGCCAGAGGCGGGAGATGGAGGCGAGGGTTGGGCCGGGGATGGGGGAGAGGGGGTGGAGGAGGCGGCGGTGGAGGATGATGGATGTGAGGGTTGCGAAGATGATCTGGATGGCTAGGGTCCAGCTCATGGGGGGGGTTTTATCTAGTAAGAGATCCATTTTTATGTCAATGGTTGAGTAAAACGTGAAGCTCTGAGAGGTCTGAGAGAGAAGAAAGGATTCAAGTGTCTCGTTCGGTTCATGTCATAATTCTTATCGTCTGGCCAAAGTCGCAGTCTTGAAGGGTGACATCCAATGCCTTGCATGCAGTTTCATCAGAACCGGTTAAGCAAATCAGAACCGTTGATATGATTCGGAAAGCCGGAGGGTGTGTGTCTCTCAGCGATGCACGATCGTCGCTGGAGATGCCCAAACGAGACACAACAGCGGAACTATGGCTGACTGTGCACACATTATACAGCGCACATGTCAGCCCTATACTAGTGACGGAGAAATGCTACGGTAGAACAGGCTTGGATTTGGAAGCTCCGAAAGACTGACAGAACAGGTCCATCATTGCCAGCACGTTAGCTGGCAAAATTAGCTCCAAATATGCTACCACTGAGCCCGTGAGCCCACAACAACACACATCCAAAGGAAATATGTTTGACAAAACCGACCCAGCTGAAGCACATTCATTATTTCAAATCAACCAACGTTAAAAAGTCTGACACCAACAGCAACCCTGAACATCGGCCCGCAGACCCGCCAACCAAATCTGACCGCCAAGATGACAAACATAAGGTAAGGTATTCACCCATCGAAACCCGATTGTGGGATGTAGTCAAGGCCGCTCTAGCTCTGGGATACAGCATCATTCACCTCCACAGAAGCCTCATTCGACTTTTCCCCATTTATTCCCCTCCTGCTTCTCCCTTAACCACTCCTCCAATTTCCTCAAACCATACTCATCATGCTCCTTTTTGGAGTGACGAATGAACTCCTCGCACCAACCAGGCGTTCCACATGATTGCACCACTTCTCCAAACGGAGCGCATCCCCCAAAGTCAATCAGCACCGGCATCCCGTCCCGAACCATGATGTTTTGCGGATTCAAGTCATTGTGTGCCAGTCCCAAAGAGTGAAGGTAGTCGATCGCTGATTGGACACCAGCAAGAAACCTCTCATTGTCAAGAGGCTCAAACCCATCGGGGGCATTGACGTACTGATCAAGCGTCTGGTTCAGTCGTTCCACAAAGAAGGATGTGATACGGCCACGGCAAGTACGACAACCAAGGTAGCGGATGATATACGGGTGCGGTGCCTTGGAGATCTTCTCCATGATAAGGGTCTCATGAAGGAGTTCCTTCCAGACAAAGTCTGTACCGACGAAGTCGTCATAGTGCTGTATACCAGGTCGTTTGAGGAAGGAGTTCGCGTCGTTGATGTGATCAGGTGCAAGGGTCAACTCGATGTCTTTTGGGATTGCGGGGAAGATCTCCTCATCCGGGATGCGGGTAAGGAGTTGGCCGATCTCGTCAAAAGATAATTCTCTCTTGTTGCGTGTAGTTTTGCCGAAGTAGACCTCTTCATCTTGGGTGATATGCAGGAACATGCAAGACTTGGCGAGTCCAGTTTCGGCGTCCTGTGACTCCACGATGGTCAGGTCATGGTAGGATGTAATGGTTGGCTGTGTTTTCTCGACCACCGTGTGAGTTCCATCATGATCGTTCGCCATGGTACTAGAAATTAACTTGAAAGCTCTGATGGTTGTGCAGTCATGTCTCTCCGGCACGTTGAGGTGTTTGGTGTTGTGTTTTTGTGTTTGTCGTGGTGGGACCAACAACAAGTGAAACTGCCCCGGCACTTTCGATTTGTGCATCAATATTGGATGGTGGGACAAAAGCCTCATTAGGTGGCCCGTGCTGGCTGGAAGCCTACCTTATCTAGGTGGCTCAACACCATGTTATTATACGGCTCTTCAACTGGGTTTGGGCAAACGCCACAATTATCACCAAGCTAGTTATCCAGTCTACGGGGACCTCCCTCGGTGATCTCTCGCTGCAAATGTACTATTCCCTGCAGCCGGTCGCCGTATCTATGACCAATATGATCGGCCAAAGTAAGAAAAATGCACTTTTCCTGCGGCTTGATTCAATGTTTGGTCAGCACGAGAGCCTGCCTGCTTGAGGAAAGTCCCTGGTGACGACAAGTGGGAGGTGGTTGGGTTTAAGGTGTTGGACACTGTCTATAAAGCCTGGGGTAACTTCCCCTATGCCGCAAATATGTTTTCTCCTTTTCTTCATCATTGCAAACGCTACAGCAAACACCAACCACGCCGCAATCTGCATTCAATCCCAGAAGCCCAGGGTTAGTGACCAGCTCAGGATACCTAGGTACCTATCAACCTCTTCTACTTTGTCATCATATTAAGAAGCTTTAAGCAACTAGACATGCGTGCCTACGGTACTGACCTTTGAACAAAGCTCCTGCCACAAATCTAGTCTTTCAAGATGTGAGCTAGCTGAGTCGACCATAGAAAAGTGTCCTAGAGTTGACATAACATTCAGGTGCACCACCTCTACCACGACCAAGGTTGTCACTACCACCGATGGCAAAACCACAACGACTACCACCACGAAGAAAGTGGATTGCGGGCAAGCCACCTGCTCTACCAGCGCTTCGTATCAAGGATAATAAGCGGCAACAGGGCTCTTACGATGCCATGCCCTGCCCTTGAGGAGTTTACTGGCTGCGGAGCACAGTGTGAAGGAGGAAGGGAAATTCGTGCTTTGGGATTGTTACTAGAGTAGCGCGATAGCTACCTATTCTACACATCGTTTTGCACCTTTCGGGTCAACAATTGAACGTACATCTTCTGGCTACCCACATCAATCAATGCTCCATCAAAGTCTCCAAATACTCGCGCGTCTGCCAAAACCAGTCATCAAGCCCTCTTTTTTCAAGCTTCTCCGCTTCATAGTTTAACGCGCGCTGGAGGCCATCTCTGTTCACCCCTTCACCCCTCGAGTTGGCCGAGTGAATCAACTCCCTGAGAAGCTCATCAAACTTCTTGTCCGTCCTCTTATGGAACCTCGTCACCTCCTTGGACGACGGCACGACCAAGCACTCTCTAACAAACCCAATGGCCCTAATAGCCTGGCTATTTGCATCTTCGTGGTCCATGAGCGATAGTTCCTTGATTGGCGTCAGATACTGCTCCATCGACTTGTCGAGGTCGTCGTGGGTTGCGCACTCGTCCAGGACAAGCTTGATGTTGTAAGCGCGGATCTTGTCCTCCAGCTCGTTGGCACGAAACAAGGGCCCGCGCCGGGATAGCATGAGAGCCCTTATTGTTGGGGGTTAGTCCTCTTTGGTTTCAATGTGTTAGATGCATGCATGCCATGTGATGAGTGCGCAACTGGGATGTCGTCAGAAGAGGCTTACCTGGTTTGAAGCCCAGACTGTGCACCCAGGCAACTAATTTATCCCCCACCTTCGCCCCAAAATAACTCCCCCCAGCCTTCATGTAATAATCCCACACATTCCAATGCAGACTCGGCCACGCATTATTGATCATCTTCAATCCTAGGACCAAGCCTGCGCGGGTAGGAGGGAACGACATCGGTAGCTTGGGGGCCCTGTTGAGCGCGACGACGTCTAGCGTCCAGATCAACCATCGTGGGTAGGCAAAAGCAGCGAGAGCGCGGGGTCGAAGAAGCGCACGACGATGAGGAGCGCAGGACGATGAGGAGCGCAGGACGATGAGGAGCGCAGGACGAAGCGCAGGACGGACGATGAGCAGGTTAGCCAGGTATTAGGGCGCGAACAACGGCAGGTGGGAGCGGGGAAGATAAGAGCCAAAAATACCGCCCTGTCCGGGCGCAGAAAATGCCGGCCATCATGGGAGGCCACGGCGTGAGAGCGAGAGGGGTGAAGCCAACAAGACGGTGCCGTCCGTTGCGATTGCTGAAAAAGGTGGTGTTGAGCCTCTTGCGGAAGCCAAAACGTTCGGGTGCTGACTCAGCAAAAGAGTGGGGCAAAAGCCATCCCGGAAGATAACATTGCGATTAGCAGCTTATCTAAGGGAGAGCGGACGGGATCCCGAGCTTTCTGCTATCTATGGTCGTATGTGATAACTCCTGTTCGTTTTGCGACCTATAACCGATGCTAAAACAAATTCACGCTCGGCTCTCACCGGGCATAAGCTTTGTTTCGACGTCAGCGGCGCCGAATCTGATCAAAGTTCTGGCGCAGAGAGTTCATCGTAAAAAGCTCGTAGCAAAGGAGATGGGTTTGTTTCCTTGTATAAAACCAAAACCAGCGACTCTACCTTTTCTTTAGCCGTCACAAGACCTCATCATCCGAGTCACTTGAGCTTAATCCCTCTATTTCCTCCCCAGGCTTTGTACAATTCCTCCACATCCTTCGAAGGACTGATTCTTGTAGACTTGACCAACAACGCTTCAAAACACTTGACCAACTCCCTCGTCAAGTCCCCACTTTCCATCAACCTCTCCAGCGCAGTCATCCCCTGCCCGTCGACCCTACTTCCTAGTCTAACACCACTTTCCCCTGGAGGTTGCTCTCCAAAGCTCAACAGCAACCTCTTCATTGTCTGAACCCCCGCATATCTCGCAGCGGTGTGTAGCACCGTTCTCCCACTATCATTGTGAACATCAAGCCTCGCTCTCCCTTTGTGCTTATCGACCAACACCCCCACAATATCCGTCTGGTCCCCCCACACCGCCAGCCCAACCGCCGTCTCACCACCCTTATTCTTGACCTCCACGTTCACCCCGTATGCTATCAACGCCTCAACAACCCCCACATCTCCCGCCATGACTGCCGCCATAAGAGGCGTCACTCCCCCCTCGTTTGCCATGTCCAGCCACGCCCCCACAGATAGGAGGTACTCTACATTGGCCAAGCGGGCGCAGCTACACGCACAATGCAGCGGCGTCTCACCATAATTGTCGACCTTGTTGACATCCGCACCACCCCGCACCAGGGCCCGAGTACAAACATCCGATGCCGTCATAGCTGCGTAATGCAGCGGGGAGCGGCCACCACCATCGTGCAAGTCGGGATCGGCGCCAGCTGCGAGGATTTCAGTCACGGCTTTCAGATCGCCGCGCCAGGCGGCCATGAGGACAGCGGTACGGCCATGACAGTCGCGGGCGTTGAGGGCGTCGGGTGAGCAGGTAGCGAGCAGTGCTGGGAGGTTGGTGTAGGCAAGACCGAGGACAGTCTTGTGCAGGAGTGAGAACTGGCGGCGGTCGAGGTCCAACGGGGCCAGGAATGTAGACTCGATGAGGTGTTTCCGTGCGTTGTTGGCTGGGGACGGACACTCGATGGAAAGATTCCAGGCCATGTTGGCGGCCGAGTCGGTCAGCTTGGTGCTGTTTTCAGCATGGGGTCGGCACCCCAGGAGAGGAGGAGCTGGCAAATCTCGTATTGGTTGCAGTTGAGGGCGAAAAGGAGGGCGTCGAGGGTCCCGTACAGAGACTCGATCATGTCTGCGGGAGAAGCTTGGCCTTTGAGGAGCAGGGTTTGCAGACGAGAGCAGTTGCCCGTCTGGATGTAGCGGAAGATGTCCGAGTCGGGGGGGACAATGTGTGCGACTGTCAGCGAGACGGATATGGAGGGTCCGTTGATGAGGGTGAGTATGATCGCGCGGGAGGCGATCCAGTGTGGGAGGTGAAATGCGCCGCTAATCATGGGTTGTGATCTGCGTTTGCAAGACGAGACGTCGCAGTCCTTGTGTTGGAAAGGGATCCACGAGATCGCATGGCTACTGTGCCACCGAGATTCTTCCATGTCGTTAACAGCAGTGTCCATGTGCTGCGGCAGGCACACTTGCATGGGCCGCACATGAAAGTCGATGGTATAGGCCCAAGAGGAAGATTCTGATGATTCACCTTTGTCATTCCCTCTGCTATTGTCTGGGTTTCCTCTGTCTTGGCCAGTGGTAACTCGTTTGGCTTGGATGCGGTAGTAACTACCCCTAGAGCCGCTGACGCGTAGTTTTCGCTCTCTGCGGTATGTAGTATCTGTGTAAGAAGCTTCTCCTGTCGAGATAGATGAGTCTGGACTGTTTTACACAGCTCAGCCTGGGAGAATCTGCGTACACGTCAGTCCGTTGCCAGTTTACGAAGAGGCCCATGCCATGGTTACTTACGGAGACATAACTGCCAGCTCACCAACGATCAGAAAGCGGACATTCCGAAGCTTGTCTTGCATCTCATGCACCTTTGTCTTTTTCCGAACCCATCCCAGCCTCACAACAGACCTCCCCATTCCTGCCCTTTCATCTCCCCCCTCAGCATCTTGCTTGGGCGATTTGAGAAGATACTTGTCCACCAGCAGCTCCATAGAGTCAAGGAGAGAAGCATATTGATGAAGCAGGCTCCGTAATGCCTCAAAATTGATGGGTCTGGCACCTTGGGCAGCCGCAATGACGGTAGATTGGAGAGAGGTGAAGGATGTCCTGGCTTCCGAGATCTCTTGAAGAAGAAGCTCGACTTCTACGGGTACTTTATTAAGTTGCTGAGCCTTACGAACAAGCTTTCGCAGCTTTTCACCACCCTGGATAATGGCGATAGCGCTGGCCACAAGACTCAGCGGGTCAGCCATGTTCGAGGACGCGTGTAGGGTGTGTGATGGGTAATACGCACGTCTGAGTATATTGTTGCTATTTCTCGCAGGCTACCTAGAACAGTAATGCTCTCAGATCGACAACATCGTCAGCCACTTGAGGAGATAAGGACCTGAACGGAGGGTCTATAGCAAAGCGTCAGGTTGATGATAAACTTGCAGCTCACCGAACGCCTCTTCTGCTGCCAAGGGGGCTCAAGCGGCCTCCTGTTGAGAAGGCTACCAGTAACTGGCTCTACTGGCTCCTAGCCACCCCCTCCCAACCCAACCCCAAGACGCAGTTGCAGCTAGAGGCGTGCAGTCAACAATTAACATGTCGTCCGAGCAACTCGCGCTGAGAATATTTGAGTCACCAACAATAGTTAGATACAAGAGAAAAATAGGTTATACAGAACACTGGTTTTTTGGGGCCTCCAGCAAAACGTCGCATCGCGATAGAAGGTGTTACCTTTACGCAACCGGACAAACCTTGCGCCTCTGCCAAAACTCGATATTTCAAGAGATATCTACCTAGGTATTTTGGAGGCTTTTGCCCAGAACCTAATCAATGCTTCGGCGACCACGGCGCTTCTTGTAATTGGAATCTCGTAACCCCCTTCCAACAGCACCACCGTGAACGTTAGGACGTTGTGTGGATGAGAGAAATGGCATTGTCAAATGCACCTGCACCGGTAGCATCACCTGTTAAGTGTGTAACAATCGGGCTGACTAGAGTAATTGCCGAGAGAGCCTTTCTCACGGGCCATGATAAGACGCGTGTGCGGGAGGATGTCGGCCGAATAGGTAGAGCAGCCTCCCCCTCCGATTAATATGCCGGCGGTGAACCAAACCTGCAGGAGCAAACAGGGCAAGGGTCCGGATGGGTGCGGGAAGTACTGCGCAAATGAGAGGGCAAGGCTACCGCCAAAAGAGCATCCGAAGAGGTGGAGAACCCAGCGGGTTTGGTCCAGGGAAGAGAGGATGAAGCGAGCCACATAGAGCATTTGCGATATGTACAGACGGGTGCCATGCGCCACCGTGCCTTTTGGTATGTCGGGCCATCCCCTACCGAAGAGATCTATCTGCACAGACAAAGTCAGGAGAATGCTAAAAACGGGGGTAGGTGAATGATTTACTAAATGTCATTACACGACATCCACATGCCACTAGGGATGCGCACAATGAGCCAAGCACCATGGCTGGGCTACCGCCACATTGACTTTGTCCCATGAGGTAGTTGAAATGAGATTCGATACCAGATGAGTCTCTGTGTCAGGTTGTCGTGCGGATTGTTGTCAAGCCCTGTATTGTTGATGAAGAATGAGAACCCCCCACCTGCGGGTTGAATTGAGGCAATCTCGCCCCAAGTCTGCCAGCTCAGCCTTATGAACTGATGCGTCTGAATACCAGGGATCAAAATTTAATGATAACGCTTTATAGTTTGTATATCTGCATAAGAAATAGGTGGTCAGAAGTATTATCTGTTTCTTCACAACATGCGTTGTTGATGCAGAGACTACAGTTTTCCGAGATACCCAAGTTTTACACTCGTCAGACCGTATATATGCGTATTGCAACTATTACCAGACAAAATGTGATCAAAGGAGTGATGCCAGGCGGTACAACACATAATTAAATTATCTCGCAGCAGATAAGCCAGTCCAAAGAGCTAGTGAATAGGTAGCTGAGACAAGGAAGAGTTAATGGCTGGATTGTACTCATTCGTGTGGTTTCCAGATATAGATTGTTACAAATAAAAACCTGGTTGTCCTAAGCATATCTGAGAACTGGACGATGAGGATCATAGTCTATAGAATAGTTTTATTGCATTTGCATAAACAATTCAATAGCTGTGCTGTGATGTGCTGTACAGTGCTTTGCGGCAGTGGAAGGGACCTGGGAGTATACCCAGCTGTGGAATCGCACCCTTCATCAGTATACTCATTATACTATGCTTGATGCACCTAGGTGGTGGACAAGGTGTCCGTTGTACCCGCTGTGGAGTTCAAGGGTTTTGTTTACTTACCCCTTAATTACCCCTAGCAACAGAACCCTTGCATACTTTTATCACGCTCATCAATGCAAACACCATGGACACAGTTGTGTTCATGAAAAAATAATTGTAACTCAATGGGGGATATAATATTTGTGACCTCCATGCTATTAAAGCATACACGTGTGCCCGCCTTTAAAGTTCAAAGAAGGATTGTCCCTAACGTACATTATAAGCGAGTCGCGCATATAAGCGAGTCGCGCACTCTCTACCACCCTACGAATACTATCCTCAATTACACCACATCAACACAAGGAATTAACTATAATTACATCAGAAACAGCTGAATCAGATGCTTCTGCAGCCTCCTGGCAAGTGCGCGCATTATGGCCAGGCTTACCGCATACACCACAGCACTGAACCTTCGTACGAGCCCCCCCTGTATTACTACTATCCGGCTGCGTTTCTTGCACTCCCTCCTTATCCACGGCCTTCTGATCCAGTAGATCCTGTGCCTCTTGTACAGTAAGTAACCCTTCAAGCCTCACACGTGTTTTTTTGGCTCTCCGGCGCTTACTTAGTGCCTCATTGGCCTTACGGAGCGAAGAGACCTCTGCACGAAGGAGAGCCACCTGGTGCATTATAGCCGTTGTACCCTTAGTAAGCTGGTCTACCGCAGCCAGCATTAAAGTCGGGGAGCTATTTTGATGGTTGGTAATGCGAGTCTTGATGAGCGTTGACTGTGAGTTGGCTTCTCGAGGGTTGTGTGGTGTCTGGGAGACCTAAGGTTGTGCAGTGCCGGGCCGCGAGTTTAGAGGTGTTGGCGTACGAAGCTTTATATCCAGCTTGGAAAGCACCCTCTCTGGATCGTACGGTATAAGGCCAGCACCCGCAAAGCCACCCTATATATTCTTCTTTGTTATAGAGGTAATGAAGGCCTCGCGGAAGGCATAGAGGAACTCGAGCTTGCTTATATAGTTGATATGCATGCGCATTAAGTCCTCGATCTGGCGACCGTACGCCTGTTTTAACGGCCCAAAGCAGCTAATATCGAGTGGCTGGAGGAGGTGGGAGGAGTGTAGAGGCATGCAGAGCGTAATAATATTATTCTGCTGGCAGTGGCGCTCGAATTCGGTCGAGTAGTGGCTTTCGTGGCCGTGGAGGATCAACAACCGGTATTTACCTTTTATACGGGACGCTATATAATAATCGAAGTGCTTAATTTAATCTAGGCCTACTAGATTAATAGTCCAGTTATTATCGGTGGTTGCGATGCGCTAGGTAGACGGTAGGTTATATTCGGTATATTAGTTAGTAAGGTGGTACTGCGCGGCTAAAATAATAAAAGGAGGGATAGCCTAGCCGAAGGCATTAACTCCCTGGATCACTATTGCCCATTCGCGGGTACTAGGCTGGGCTAGTTTTGCCTTATTAAGGCCGTCCGAGGTCGTAACTACTATACCCGCGAAGATAATGCCCATCATAAACCCAGTCTCGTCGAAATTATAAATATCGTTATCTATAATACCGTACTTAGCCTTAGTATTCCGTACAAGCGTAAACCACTCGGCCATGACCTTTAGATCCTCGCACTTAGCCCTCTGGTAATCGTATCTACGCGTAAAACGTGTACGGAGTTGTGGCTGGCGTTTAACGAAGTTGTGTGCCCAAAGCTTGCTAACAGGGGGCGCGTCGCGTATACGTAGCAGTTGGTTGGCCATATCTTCCACACCACGCAATCTTGGTGGAAAAGCTCGCGCACATAGCTCAATAATGTATTGAACAATAGCATCCTCTTCGGATTGAGTGAGCTTTTTCGATTTGGGCGTGGTATCGCGTCGTGCAGGCCGGCCAGCGCGTCGGTTACGGAGCGTTGATTCTGGAATATTGTAGAGCCTCGCTGCTGCTCTGACGCTTAAACGCTCATCATTCTGAAGAGCTTCGAGGGCTAAGATTACCCTCGCTTCTTTTAAAGTAGGTGGCATGTTGGGTTGTGGAGAAAAATGATGTTAAGTGTAGAGAGAACGCGTCGCGATGGCTAGTGCGCGACTCGCTTATATGCGCGACTCGCTTATAATGTACGTTATCTCCATGCGCCCGGATCCTTCTTTCAACCATCGGTACTTTCTCTGTGCACAAAAAACAGCCGCACCTGTTTGAGAATCGCGCTGTTACCCTTCCTCTATGCGGTCTTTCCCACGATCAACAGACCAACGAGTAACGCCCTTACACAGGAGGAATGTCCAACACATGATGAAGGTGATGCTGAGTTTGGAAGCAATCCTCATGCCGCACCGGTGGCTTCATCAAAAACAAAATATGAAAATGAAGAAAAGCTCCGGGGTTTACCTACCCTAGCAAACCTTTTAAGAACCCGTTGTTGCTGTTGCTGCTGCTGCCACCTTGAACAATTTATCCTCCTTCCTTGGCCTTGGAATCCCCTCGACGCTAAGGCACGATAGCAAAGCAGAGCTTTGGGTCTGAATTGTACTTTGAATTAAAACGCAAGAGCATATCACTCGTCAAGTGTCTACCCAAGAAATGAGACTTGGTCCGTCATTTCCTTCGTTCATAAACGTGGGCTCACCCTCATGTCACAAGGCAACTGTCCTTTCGATTGCTGAGGGGTTCCAAATCATGAAGCCATGTCCCAATACTTGCTGTACCTGGTGTATTCCTGCCCAAGTCTCAACTCGAGTGCATATGTGCTATCCTTCCCTGAAATACCGTTACCAACTTTGACAGAATGATGCCACCCCTTGTTGTGTAAACCTTCTCTGACAATGCTGTCCTCCGGCTCCTGTCGCAACCCTTACAGTTGGTGGCAACGTCCCCATGAAGCCATTCCGCTTACGGGTTTCAACATGGCCAGCCATATGTCAACAAATGCAAGTGCCAGCACCGGAACGAACTCTCCCTTTCCTGCACCTTGACCTCCCAAGCTCTTCCCACAACTGTCTTGAATAGCCTCATGGAACGATGCCATCACGATTGCTCCACAGGACCAGCAAGCTAATGACCTGATTCAGTAACAACTTGCCTCACATGTTGAGAACCATCAAAAAAGGGGAAGTCAGTGCCGAGCAATGGAGCGCACCATAAGACTCTTCCAATCTTCCCAGGATTCTCCCCTTCGTCTTCTCTTCTCTTCACCTTGCACCACCGCTTCTTGACTTTGTCATCCTTCTCCCTCTATCATGATGTCTGTCCACAGTCAGCTTTCAGTCTTCTTCCTTGGATTCTCGACCCTCGCCTCCTCAAACACTCATCAACCTCCATCGACCTGTCACTTGACATCGCGGCAGACTTGACAGCCTCATCAGACGGCAATCAACAGGTTCGCAGGCCTCATGACGACCTCCCCTGCCAGTCAACTCATCATCGATCACTGAGACATCAAAGGATCGTATTACATAGCAATTGGCTACCGCTCTTATGAGCTTCTTGTCCCCTCAGTTCGGTCAACAGCCTCAGAGGCTCGCTCGACTTGTTCCACCATGATCTCGACGACCTGTTTCGACGCCAGCCAACTCTTCATCATCGGCCAGGTTCCTTTCTTGAGGTGGTTGCTCCTTTTTTGACGAGAGTGTGTTTCTGAAGGCCGGTGGCCTAGCGATGCTATCGTTACTTTTGCTTTAGAAGAAGCGGAATAAAGGACCTCACGGAGCCATTGACTACCACTCTCACAAGTCCTCTCCCCCGGGTTCAATCGATAGCCTCAGGGGCACGGCATATCTCGACGCTAACCGGCTCCTCATCATTGGCCGGTTTCTCTTGAGGTGGATGTTCCTTGTGCTGAGAAGTCTGTTGTTTTCTGAGCGTTGTTGAGCGGTGATGATATTTCTTAGCGGATGCTTAGGGACCCCCACGTAGCCGTTGGCTACCACTCTCACAGGTTTCTTGCCCCGGGTTCGATCGATAGCCTCAGAGGCACGGCTTGTCTTGACATGATCTGCGTGTTGACACCGGCCAGGTCTTCATCATTGGCCAGATTCTTTGTTCGAGGTGGGTGCTCCTTTTTGTTGAAATTCCTTTTTTGAAGGCCAATTTGGCCTAGCGATGATATTTTGTTCAGCCAACAACAAAGGACCCCATATAGCCATTAGCTACCACTATCACAAGTCATTCCCCCCCCCCCCCCCCCGGCCGGTCTGATCAACCTCAGTGGCGATCAGCGATGCCGACGACGTGTCTTATGGCTCGGCTTCATCATTGGCGTTCAATCGTGTACACAAGCAAGAGGGGTGGATGGGTTTGGTCAACCTCGGAGGCTCGGTGGCTCAAGTGCCATGTTGACGACTTTTCACGGCTGGCCGGCTTCGTCATTGGCTTGGCCTCAGCTACTCCAGTGACTCGACTTGTACCTTGGCACGGTGGCGGTTGGGTTGTCGAGGGCTTTGCATCATTGACTTTCATGGTTCGTGGGTGGTTGGATGACAAAGGTTTGCTCATTTGAGCTTGCGGGTTGTGTAAGGATTTGTGGGATTGGATTTATGGGACGATGGGACGCAACGCAGGTGTGGACAAAGTGATGAATATTGTGATGGTATGGAAAAGGAAGGAAAAGGCAAGTAGCCCAGGCTGGAAGATCAAGAGGACCTGGGAGCAAGGCAGTGGGTGGTCAGTGCCCACGTCCCACGGGATTTGAGAGAAAGGGATTGAATCTGAAGGCGATGAACGAGTTTGACGCGTGAGAACTTTTAGCTATGGCTGACGAGACGGCAGGGATGCGAGGGTGGTGGATGTGATAGTCGTCTGAATTAGAGTGCTATTTGCTGTGTCTGTTCTGTCTGCTGTGTCGAGTGGCCGCTGAGTGTACTGTGATGTTTGCTGTGTCTGTATCTTGATGCGCGTTGCGGGAGGAATTTTGAGGACCTTGTCCTGTCGGATTCGGCAAGAGAAAGGAGGAAATATGTGTGCAGATGGGCTTGACTTTTAATATCTGTGGGAGTCCGACGTGGCCTGAAATAAAGTTTGAAACCCCAGTTTGTGTTCAATCACCCGTGTGGCCTCGTGTTGAAGCCACAATCTTGTCAGGAGTCCACGGTGGCATTTTCCATGTTCCTTGATATCTGCATTAGCTGCATTATCTGAAGGACACGAGTAGCTCTTTTGGGCCCCAGTTATCAATCCTCTGCTTTACTCCATATACCATCATCTGGAGTTTTGCCCCCCCGTGCCCCTCATATCCGTTGCCCGTGCTGCCATATATATCATCACATTCTCGTCAGTTAGTGGTGACGGGACCTGCGCCTCGACAGTGAAGGTGTCAAGGTCGTCACCGTAAGTTTCCGCCATGTCTTCCACATGCTCCGAATCTCTCGGCGGGGAAAGAAAGCCACTTTCACCGGGACCGATAATCGCCCGTAAGAAGATACTCGCCATCTTCTCGTATCCAGAATCGTTGGGGTGGATCCCATCCGACCTGAAATCATGCCGACCCATCACCTCGAATTCTGCTGCTCCGATGCCGACCGCCCACATATCTGCGAGCACAATCTTCTGGGGCCGTTCAGGCTCGAGAACCCAAAGATGATCGGCAACAACCTCTCGGGCCATGGAGGTTACATAGTCCATGTTTTTGTAAATGATTCGATTCCCCGGTCGGGATGATGGTGGACAAGATGATGGTTGTGTTGGGCACCTGATCGAAAAGATAGTCTACCATCCCGGCGTATCGCTGGTAGATGCCGCCGATCCAGGGTGATGACCCTGACCCGAATGCTGGCATGGAATAGTTGTATTCTGTCTCGTAGAGATCATTTTGCATGAGGGTGTCGAAGGTGCCGGCGTGGATGAGGATGACGTTGGGCTGGTACTTGACCGAGTGCTTAGATAATCCGTGGATGGTGGCGACTTGGTCCATCTTGTCGCGTGCCCCGACTTGGTTGTTGTTCATGAGGCCGTGCTGCTTGCTGCCGACCATGTTGACTTTGTAGCCTGCCTGCCGGAGGGAGTCTCGGAGGTATTTGCGGTATCTGGAGATGAGTCAGTTTGAGTGGCTGGTTAGTTATGCAACTCAAGATTGACAGCTTACCCATTGCCATGGCTTGAGCCCTGCCCATAAGTGATGGAATCACCAAGGGCCAGAATGCGAAGTTCAAAGTCTGGAGGGTTGAAGCCACTGATTGTCCCTTCTTTATCACTGCTTTTTTCCCGAGATGTCTGGGTCTCATCTTTTGCTCCGTCACTGATAACTCTCTGTTCGCCATCTTGGCCATTGGAGACAGGCCCAGGAGTCGACATGGCGAGCGTCGAGAATATAAGTGTTGCAATGGCAACAAAATGTCTGTGGCTCCGCCGGGAAGCACCGTTGAACTTCATGAATTATCTCAATCACTTGACGAACGTTGGAGATGCTGGAAACTGGGCCTGGTGAAGTAAGGTGTCTTTATCAATGAGCTTGTCCAGCAACCAATCACGCTTGACGTTCCTCCTTAGCTCACGACACAAGATCCAACACACCTTGACAGTCATGACCCTTACCATTACCTCCTATTTCTTAAGCAGCCTGCAAAAAAGGCATTCCAAAGTCTATTATGGTATATAACCCCCCCACAACAACAAACATGCTCACAGCTTGGTGTCCGAATCCATCCACATCTAATAGATCAAAATCACGCCGCCGCCCCTTCCACCTTCCCCTCCTCCCCTTGAGGCTGCACCGCCTGCTGCTCCCCCCTAGCCGCCGGCACCACCTCCTCAGGCACATCCAGCGCCAAATCCGCCCTCAACCCCGGCAGAAACCTATCAATCCTCTTCCACGTCTCGTTCCACAGCTCCTCCCTCTCGGGCTTCTTGCTCGGCGGCACCAAGTACCCATTACTCGCCATAATAAGCAACACATTCTTCAAATTCTCCGGAACAGCCTCCTCCTATTTTGTCAATCGTTAGCAAAAGAATCCCCTTTATCTCGACAAGAAAGCTTACCAAACTATCCCCCTGCCCACTATTCATCAACCGGTCCATAATCTCAATAATCCTCACCCACAACCCCAACAGCCCCTCCCACTCGCTCAGCATGACCAAATACTGCAAGAAAACTTTGCTCAGCAAGCTCGCAGCCTGCACCCTCGTCTCGCTCATCCCGTCCCGATCCGAGCTGAAAACCTCCGGCTTCAACAGCCTCAAGATAAGCGGGAACAGCACCTCCCCGAAAATCGCCGTCCACTCATCATGCTCCTCCTGGGACGTCAGATCTGGGCTGAGCAGCGTCCTCTGCAGGCTAGAAAACGCCAAATGTCTAATTTCCCGACAGGGGTTCGTGCACTGCGTTGTTAGGGCCTGGAAAACAGGAAGCCAATACGCCGACCACGCCTCCCTGCTCTCTAGATGACTCTGGGACATGAGACCGGGGATGCGAGACGTGAGCTTGTAGATTCCCTCCAGTGCCCTAACGCCCCTTTCGACAACCTTGTTGTCGCTTGGTTTCTCAAGCTTCTTGGCAATGAATTTGCGGCCCTTGACCTTGCGGTCGTTTTGCTGCTCTGCTACCGCGCCGACGCTCGCCATGCTGGCATATTCGTTGAGCAACGAGAGAGACGCCTCGTAGTTGTCCGCCATGATTGCCGAGGGGTTGCTGTTGATAACACCCTTCTCCAGAATCTCAAAGACGGCCTCTGCTGAGTCTGGGTTGGTGGCGAGGGTCTGGAGGATGACCCAAAAGTCGGGTGAGGTCATCATCTCGTTTCGGAGAGGGCATGGCTTTTCGATGCAGAGCTTTAGGCCGCGGAGAACGAGACCAGACGTCTTTATGAGAGTGTCTTTGGGGAAGCTGGAGACGGTGTGAAGGAGGATGGGAACGCGGACGTAGTCAAAGTCGTAGCTTGCTTGGAGGAGGTTGAAGAGGTAGAAGGTGGCTCTCTCGATGAGGACAGGGTGGTACCGAGGAACATCTCTCAGGATCTCCTGGATAGCTTCCACGACCCGCTTGCCGAGAACCTCGATGGTGGTCTCATCACGAAGGGCGAGGACTGTGCAGAACTCCAAGATGTATACCAACCCCGGGTCGTAGACGGCGGTGGTCTGACGAGGTTTCTGTCCGTTAGTTCCAGACGGTGGGATATTCTCGGCCTTGACAGTGATGACGGTCGACCCATTGTCTTCTGGAATTTGTGCCAGCAAAGAATCTACCAGTGCTTCAAGATTGTGACTTGGTAGGCTCGAGACATTGGCAAACACATCCCCCATGTGACACTGGTTGACGCAGTCGACAGTGCAGAGCGTGCTCTCCAATTCCTCATCTGAAGGTTCAGGCGGGTCATCGGCCGCATAGCTTGAGATATACGAGGTGAATGCCGAGAAGAAGCCTGTCTCGTTCTGCTTGGCACCCCGATCAATGACCTGAGATGGCGGCTGCAGAGGAATAGGCGGCAGCGAGAGCTTATCCGCTTCTGTCGAGAAGAACGGCGGTATAAGCGAGTTGACAAACAAGTTGAGCCATATCCGAATGATCTAAAGACGATATTAATACCAAACCCATATATGGCCTAGGATGCTCAGGGGGCAACTCACATGCTTCCAGCTCTTCTTGATCACCGGCTCACTCCCAGTAACAACCCTAAACAACACCAACGTCGCCAACTGCGGCCTCACATCCCTCCCAAACTTGACCGCCAGCTCACTCACCATAACACTATTCTCCCCAACCTGCACCTCGGTATTAAGCGTCGTATTCGACCCTCCCTCACTGCTCAGAGTCGAGATATAGCCCAACCGATACACAATCTCATCCAGCGCCTCGCTATTTCCGTACTTGGTCGCGATCCTTGCGCACTCATCGAACCCGGTAATCACCCTCGCATAAACCGTATCATCCGTCGCCGACATGAAAACAAAAAACAAACACGACACAATCGCGTTCCACGTCGTGGCAAACATGTCGGCATCATAAATGTTCGTATCGCACAACACCAGCGGCCCGGCCGAGTCAGACTTGAGAAGCAGCTCCTTCCAGGCATAGTCAAACGCATGCTTGTTGTCATGCTCAGAAGGCAGGATGATCTCGTTCGTGCTGATGGCGTGGAAGATGTCATGGATGTACTCCGGAGGGAAATCCTTCCCGCCATTGACACCCCGCAAGTTCCTCGCAAAGGCCGCCTCGTTCATGCGAGCTTCTTTCTTGATGGTTGGATTATGCTGGTCCGTATTCAGCATGATAATCGCGTAGGAGAGGACATAGACCGAGTCCTGGTCTGCGATGCCCTCAGGCTCCGACTTGAAGTACTTCTCCGAGAATGAAACAACCACCCTCTCAATCAGAGGCGCTTCGCCAGGCAGGCGGAAAGTTCCCAGCATCATGCGCAGCGCCTCGTCTGCTCTCTTTCCAGAGAAGTCAAACTGGTCCATAAACGCATCTAGAATAGCCTCGTTGCCTCTCTTGGTGAGGAACTCGCCAAGCTGCTTCTTGTTGACTCTTGTCGTACCCGACAAGAACTTGGCCACACAGACTGGGTCTTTAGCATCGGCAATGATCCCTTTTTCCTGGAGATATGCCAAGCCGCCCTTTGGATTTTCGTTGAACTTGTTTGCGCCCTTGATGATGAGCTTTTTCCTTCGCCTTTTTTCTCTGAGTACTTCCGGGTCGGGATAGCCCTCTGTTTCAGGGGTCTGGTCAAGTCTTTCTGCAATGTACTGGATGAAGCGAAGTAGCGCATCCAAACAGAGAGGTGGCACGCTTGTCGTGCTCCAAGTAGCCGAGTCTGGGAGCGCATTTCTTGACAACAGACCGATCATGTCCTCACACAGATCAGCCCTGTCCTCATCGCAGTCATAGTTGACAAACAGATCCACCATAAAGGTAGGCATGCGAGCCAGCACTCCAATATTCTCAACCATGGCCTGTCTGGCATCTGGTTTGCGCGCGCCCCCTTCCAGCCCCAACTTTTGGCGGTCCTTGACTGGAACAGGCGTAGAACGGCCACTACCTTGTTGCGATGGTGGTGGTTTGACCAACTTTGGCGACTGTGGGATGCCCGAATAAAGACTGGGGTCAATGCCTGGCTCTCGAGGGATCTCCACCGCCGGATGAAGGCAAGCGACCAAGTAAGACAGGTACAGCTCCTGCTGAAGCTTTAGAACATGTCTGCAGGTGGAAAGAAGGGTGCTGGCCACAATCAACGCTTCCTGCAGCACGGCCATATTATCGGAGCGTACAAGCTGGAAGAGATAGCAGCACAGCTGATCCTCTGCAATCGCCGCAAGCGCTGGGTGCCTCGCAATCGATGGCCCTGCCACCTCAAGCGCCACGTGGATGATCCTGAGAGCCATGACTCTCATTTGATCGGGATGGCGGCGGTCATGAGGGTCCAAGAAGCTAACCAGCACCCTGAAAAGCTCGCGGACCGATGGTAACGAATAAGGCCGTAGGTCAAACGACTCAGAGCTGATTTCCGTGTTAGAACTCGTACTCGGCCTCCCCTGTTCTCCAGCAGCAGCCGTTTCCTCAGTACTGCTCGCCTTTTCCGAACTCGATGAAAGCCTCGGCTCATCAACCGCCGACGTCTCCAACAAAGCCGTCTTCTCAGTCGTCTCACCCCCTTCTCCCTCAACCACCCCATCACCCCCCTCAACCGATACCTCCCCCTCCTCCCCCTTCTCCAAAACCCCCACAGCCTCCTCACTCCCCGTCCCCTCACCCCCAGTCTCCATCTTCACCCCATCATCCCCCCCCATCTTTCCCTCCAGCCCCCCCTCCCCATCCTCCTCCGCCTCAACCTCCAAATGCTTCAAATCCTCAAAAATAATCTGCACCATCCTCACCATACTCGCCTCCGCCGTCCGTCTCAGCACCTCGGAAAACCTCGGCCGGCTGCAAATCGTCAACCCCCTCCCCATCATATCACAAACACTCTCATCACTCACAATATCCCCCCCCGGCCCACTAAGCATATCCTCCATCAAATGCAAAATCATCAACAGCACCACCTCCTCCTGCGCCGGATCACTAATATCAAACTGACAATGCGTAATCGCCGCGCTCAAGCTCTGCATCGCAAGCGCGAATCTCGGGCTCACCGGCGCGACAAACCCATACGCCAAAAACTTTTGAATAGCCCTCAGCGCAAGCACAGTCACCGGCGCCGCCGTCCCCTTGGTCTGTATAATGTGCAAGAAGGGATACAGCAGCACGAGGGAATCAAACCGGTGAATGTCCTTCACCCCCGCCAGCTCCTGACGAAGCCGTCCGAAACCCGCAATAAGGGGGTTGTCCGCCAATGACTTTCCTTTTTTCCCTCTCAGACCCCATCTGTTTGTTGCCAGCTCGTTCGCGTCTTGCTGTTGCTGCTGCTGGCCAGCGGTGGACTTGCTTCTCGCTCTGGACGAGGGAGACGGCGGGGGGACGAGCTGGATGAGGTTGGGGCTCCCTCCTAGAATGGCCGACACGGACGAGTGCGGGGACCGGGCGTGCTTCTGGATGGCCGACGTGATTGCTATGCACTCGGATATCACCAGCGAGACTGGGTCGACGGCCACGGAAACAGGGCGGGAGCGGTACTGCATTCGGGAGGAGACGATCGGGCCCCCTCCTCTGGTTGTTGTGACGGTGGTGCTGTTCCGAGGGAGAGGGGTTCCTGGGGCAGAGGGGGCTGTTATGTTGTGGTTGATGTTGACGGTGTCCATGTTGGGTGGTGCGGGAAGGGCATCGTTGCCCATGCTGCTGGTTTAGTTTGCGCTTCTAACTTGTCGCCCTCGGTGTTGGGAGAAAGGAATCGCCCTTCGACGTGGGGTGGTTGGATATATAACTTGTCGGGTTTCGCTCGAGTTCGACCGAGGGGTCGAGTAGTTGGGTTGCGACTTCGAAAGGCAAACAATTGCCCTTGTGACGATATTTGTTCGTGAGAAGAGGACAGACACACTCTCAACTTCCCCCCATCTGTTTGTTCCGCCGTGACTGCCAGGCAACTCCCAAAAGAAAAGGTCTATACCCGTTAACCGCGTCAGCAAGAATTATGTCGCGAAGCTGTCTCGGTGAGATGTGTTTGATTCGAAGCGTCAGCGTCGTCACTTGCTGCTGGCTGGCACTCGGGGGGTAGGTTGCGCCTCGTCGTCAACTGTAGGTACAATCCTGGTCCCTGGGGTGGGTGGATAGGACACCTTGAGGCTCAAAGCCGCGAAAGCCAATGAATTGTCAGGTAGCGAATCCAAGCTCCTTGTTTAGGTGGTCAACTCCAGCGGCCACAATCGGTTAAACAGCGGTCATTGCCCCACAGCTACAGGCAACCACTCAACTGCCACCTGAATATGCCACCGAGACAAACTCATTACAACAGAATAGGGGGACAAAAAAAGATGTCGATGACATGACCCAGTCAGTTCATTTATCTTTATCATAGGTAGTCTTAAACAAAAAGAAGAAGAAACTTGAAAAACGCCTCTGCCATGAATGCTGGCCTGTTGCAAGAAAGTGACACCTAGTGTACATGATATTATGTCGTTCCTTTTTGTCTTGCCGTGTTCCGTCCCGGTCTGGCTTTGCAAAAACGCCCACCCACCTCCCCCCTCCCTTCCAGCCTCCAAAGTTCTAAAAGAGCCGGATGAAATAGTAAACAAAAAGTGGAAGAAGAAGAATGGGATAGATACACAGACGTAACCATTATCGTGATCACGTCTTGGCACCCTCCTGCTTCCCCTCAACCTTCTGTTGCCCTTGCGCTGGCGCTTGAGCAGCAGGCTGAGCCTCAGCCTTCTTCTCCGCCTGAGCCTCCTTCTCCTTCTTATCTTGCAACGCGATGTTCTGCAGCTTGGTCTTATCTTGTTCCCACTGACCCGTGGTATCACCAAACTCTTCCTTGATCTTCTTGGACTTCTCTGCCTTTTCCTTTTCTTCGGCTTCCTTCGCTAACCTCTCTTTCTCCATTTGCTGTCATCATACGTTAGCAGATATTCGGTCAACAGAGTCTGTGGAGGGAGTAGCGTACCTCCATGTGTTTGATATCGTCAACGCTAGGCTCGTACAAATGCCAGATAGTGTAGTGTGGCAAGCCCACGACCGAGAATTGCATCTTCTTGGCCATCTGCTAGTTGTTAGCTGTGTACCTCAGCAGCCACTCAGAAATTGCGACATACCTTTCCAAAACCTTCAGTCTCGGCATGCTTTTCGAAACTGAAAGCCGGGAAATGAGCACCATAACGGAAAACTCTCGCCTTGGCCAGAATGCTGACGCCACCAACACCATCGATCTCCATCTCCATATCTGGGTCGCCGTAAGGATCACGCAGGTATGCCAGATGAGGCCGCCATGTCGCGTACTCGGCATAACCCTCCACAATGACAGCGTCTTCGTCAAGAGTGTCGGCAAGAGCAAGGGCGGTTTCTGACTCCTGCCACGAGTTAAGATCATAAGGCTGCTCTCCACCTAGCCAGTCGGGAAGAGGTCTCCAGACATCTGATCACACAAGAACCGTTAGTCAACCACCCCCACAGACATCGACACCCACCACAGAAAATACTCACTAGGAACAATAACATCCTTATTATGCCTCATCAAATCCTCCAAAATCGTAAACGGCGCCGTCTCCACATCCACATCCCTCCAATACACCCAAGAATGATACGGCCTCAGCGCCGCACTCAACAACCAATTCCTCGCCCTTGCCATCAACTTCCGTCTCGGCGCCTGAGCCGCAAACCCATGCCTGCTCTCCACATCCTGATTCACAATCTGTCCAAAATCCTTCTCAATAATCGAAATCTCCCCAAAGTGCTGATTGTCATCCACATCGTTCTGGATCGCCTCCAAGCTCTCCGTCAGCACCTCCAGCGTCCTGTCCTTGGAGTCCGACACCAAAAACGCCAGGTCGATCAGGTTGTGCGGGTACGTAAAGTTCCTCAGGTGCGAAAAGAACATGCCCAGGTGCGACTCGGCGTCGCGCAGGGGCACGCAGAGCAGGATGCGCTCCTCCCTTTCCCACCCCCTGGCGGTGCCCTGGACGTTAGACAGGTCATAGTATCGCACCGTCTCGAGCTGGAAGTCGTCGCTGCTCGACAGCAGGCCGAGCGAGAGGACCGAGAGGACCGAGCCGCCGTTCCAGGTGATCAGACCGAAGAGGAAAAGGATGGCCGCGACGATGCCGAGCCGTACGAATAAGCGTTTTCGTCTTCGGGATATCGGTGTTGTGCCTCGTGGTGTGAATCTGTTTTCAAATCACAAGTTAGACCAGTCTCCCCGAAACCAAGCGCCGCCCTGAGGAGAAAAGAAAAAAGAAGAGAGCGCACCTGTGGGGAGAAATCTCAAATGTGTTCCCTCGCGGATAACCGTTAGAGTACCCGCTTACATGGTGACGGGGGACCACTTTGGACCCCGACGATGTGAAGGGCAGCATTTGTTTTTGTGTGGCGTGCACCGGAGTGGGTGTGAAGGCGTCACTACCAAAAACCGATGGGATAGTTTCCTCGCCCCCTTTCGTTGCGCGCGCAACCTTGGGACGTGGGAAAGCTTAAGCTTGAACCCCTGGGCGTTATCTCTTCGGGGGGACGGGGTGACGGTGAACGGGGGGGAGAGGAGGGGACCGGTCTGGAATTCCGTTGTGGTCGTCGGTCAACGCATGGCTCGCCCGTTGTATGCAACGGATACGAAAAAAATAGGCAATGGCGTGGCACGAGGAACAAGACTCGCTGAGGTGGCTTTGTGTTGGCGATGGATGGGTCAGGTTGGCAAAAGGTGTTCGCTCGCATCAGCCTCACGGTGCAGCGGCAACCCGTGGCGTTTCGTTTCTGATTTCGAAAAGGGACCCCCCGGAGGCCTTGGCAGTGTCCAACTCCTGGCTGGCGCATTTGCTGGGTCCACTGCCTGACTGCCGAAAAGCGGGTACCTATGACCAATGTCGTTTTGCATTTCTGCGCCGCAGATGGGTCGCAGAGATTGTCTCGGAAGGTACCGTATATTAAAGTAGCCATCTCATTTACCAGAATCTCGTCCATCTGCAGCTGCTATAGACTGGCAAAAATCCCATATACATCACATACACACACATGAACAGAGGACAGCAATGAGGTGGAGGACATAATTGTATTGCATTCTTCTACTATGTGTCTAAATCCTCTCTTGCAGAAAAAGCCTCGGGCTCAAAGGTTGTATCTGGATGATACCTACAACGCATCAACTCAACTCACCTGGTCCGGGTCTACATGGTCGCGCTTGGAAGGGTACGTCTTCTGTCAAGCTGCTGACGGTCAGCAAATAGTCATGGACGAATTGTTTTGAAAAGTTGATGTGTTGGGTCCAGTATCAGGCAAGCCGTTTTTACTCAGCCGTACAGACCGGCCCAAGCTGCCGTACACCATAACGGTGCATGACAGACCCGAACAACGGAAGCCAAATCACATCCCCGAAGGAAAAACACCACAACTGATCATCCCACCCGAAGGCGCTACAGTGCGGATGAATGGCTCGGTCGCACAATATCGTTGAATGGATAGACTATTGTCATCATGATGGACGAAGGGGGCGCGAGTTTGACGATAAAACATACCCAGACAGTCCGGTAGATGAGGTGTGACCACAGTCGTCGACGAGTCAATGTCCCTAACTTTGATAACAGTCAGCAAAAACTGTCAATAATTGGGGAGTGGTGAAATGTGAAAGAAAAGAGAGATGGCATCAGAAAAGTTTTGGTATAGGGTTGTCGCTCATTATAATTCAGAAGCAGAACTGAAAAATATTTTTTTCATCATAAAAGCCGGGGATGAGGAAAAAGCCATTCGTACCTTGACTGTGTTACTATGTTGTCGAAGCGATGGCGGGATGTAGCTGTCAGTTGGGTCAAGAAAGAAATCCTGCTACAACTTGTTAGTCAAAGCTGTCAACCAAGGTGGGCTTGTGACGAGTTGAAAAGAGGGTGTCCAGTCAGATGGTAGTGCATGTAGTTCAAAAGCGCTCAGAGAAAATCGCGAGAACTGTGTGTATAAGATCATCATAGGACGGGGAAGGTGAAGAAAAAACGTACTGTATCCAGCGTAGAGCTGGCCAGAGCTGGGTTAGTTGTCAGTCCAGCGACCCCTCTGCCTGGCCAAGCCTTTGCAACCACCTCTCCGATCAGGTTCCTAGCGACCAAAGCGAGTCCATGATAAATAGACGCTCTTTCAAGAGAGGCTAAACTTGAAAGGAGAAGGAGGTCGCAAAAGGATTGGTTTGTCGGTTGTAAAGTCGGGTGTTGGCCATGAGGAAAGGTTGCAGTGTTGTGTGGAAGAGAGGAAAAGCAAGTCGCGATAAATTTTTCAGAAGTTTAAACATTTTCCCAGAGCTGTGGCTTGTGCGTGTGTGGTCCAAGCTTCGTAGTGGGGTTCCGGAAGTGGCTTGCTGGAAATCCAAGATGAAGGCGTTGCAGGCAAGCCACAGGCGACCTCAGGCTTTGGTTTGACTTGAACTGAAAATCAACATCACTGACAAAGTCGACAGAAGCTCAGTGATCTTCTACTTTCGAATTCGGAGATCTCATCGCTAGAATCTTCTTCACGGAAACTGCACGACTTTTTTCCACCAGCCTCTCTCCACATATCTCACTTCAAGGAAAAAGGCATTTTCACCTGCTTTCAACTTACCCAGTTGATATCAAACCACAATGGCTGACAGAAGACGTATCAACGGCCCTCCTGGGGCCACAATGGCGCCAGTATTTGAAGATGACGCCGGTCAACCAGAGATCAAGAACGGCAAGGGAAGAGATCGGGCACCAAATATCATTCGCAAAACGTGTAAGTGGCCTATCCTTCTTCTAATGTACACACTCATCCACTGACACCTCTTTCAGTTCTCAAGACAGGCGTAACTCCATCAGCTTCTGGTTCCGCCTATCTGGAGTTTGAAGGGTCCAGCAAGAGTGGTGTCTCAGGGTTGAAGCTCAGCTGCACAGTCCATGGGCCACGGTCTCTCCCAAGATCAAGCCCATTCTCACCTCACATCGTTTTGTCAGCCCATGTCAAATATGCGCCGTTTGCTACAAAGCAGAGACGGGGCTATCTACGAGACCCCAGTGAGAGAGATCTCGGCACCCATCTTGAAACAGCTCTTCGTGGGGCCATCATTGCAGATCGCTGGCCGAAGAGCGGTGTCGATATTATCATCTCGATCATCGAAGGAGACCAAGACAGAGAGACATCAAAATCTCAAGGAGATGAGACTTGGGACATGATGAACGTGTTGAGTGGGTGCATCACAGTGGCTTCAGCTGCATTGGCAGACGCTGGTATCGATTGTGTGGACACTGTTGCCGGAGGTGTTGCTGCACTCGTTCAAGATGCCGGCGAGGACTCAACGCCTAGGATTGTCGTTGACCCCATTCCGTCGGATCACGAGAAGGTATTGGGGGCTTGCTGCGTAGCCTATCTGCCCACAAGAGACGAGGTCACCAACTTGTGGTTCAAGGGTGATCTGCCAGCCGCCGATGCTGGTCTGTACACGCAGTTGGTGGAGAACGGCATTCAAGCTTCAAGAACCGCCAACCGGGTGCTTGTTGAGTGCCTGGGTGAAGCTACGAGCTAAGCGTTATCAGCAAGCATATGTCCAACCTTACAATAATAGACATGAGTTCATGGACAAATCCAAGGTTGAGACGGGCGCAGTTGTTGTTACTTTCAGCCCTGGACATTAGTGACATGCAGTTAGTCACTGTGTTCACTGTGATCACTGTGGAGGCCAGGGAAGCCAAGGTGAAAATCATGGAAGCGGGGCAATCTGAAGTCTTGTTGTTCCCTCTTATCGCAAGCTGCAAGTCAGCGACGAACTGGGACAGATACGAGAATGCACATGCATCACAACCTGGATATCGAATGTAGCCTTCCGATTTGAGACTGGGATGATCCGGTTTGTGGGATTCTACCGTATTCATGAGCGGGGTGTGATTGCGCGTCGCTGGGAAACCGTCTCAAACTGGCGATGCATTTATTGGTCGCAAACAACTTTTTGTCGCAGGAAAGATGCCCGGTTTCCCAAGCTTTGGCTGTTTTTCGAGAAGCTTCAAACCGTTTTCCGGCCAGATTTGCGGGTTCGGGGCTGTGGGGGCTTCCACAGTGTCCCGGGTGCAACGGACTGTGCCATTCCATAGTAACAAACCGGCCAAACAACGTCTCAATTCCTTCCACGTGGACACTGTGTGGCCGCAACCAAGAATGATTGCCCCTCCTTTTTCGGCGATCCAGGCGCCTCTGCCGAACACCTCCCACGCTCTCCTGACGCTAAACACGCTAGAGCTGCAGCAGTGATTCGTCGCCCCCCTGACGTTATCGTTCCCATGGATGTTTGTGCCTGCGAGTTTTCCAAAGACAGCCGCTCGAGTCCGAAGCGCCAATCGTCGATTGACCAAAGAAAGAAGAGAGAGGCATCGCAACTCAGCCGCCATCCAGGCTGTGTTCTTCCTTCGTTTTTGTCGTAGTAATTCCTCAAACCGACACTCGTTCCCTCAATTCCTCCTTCCTACGGCTGACACCTCTGCGGTCCACGTTACGTTGCCTTTTGCTACCTTCAAATTATTATACGGCCTTTAATTCCATCAACTTGCCTAATTTCCGCTTCATTCGTCATTCGCTTTGCGTGCACTCGCGATAGATAACCAGGAGGATAACGACTCTCGACGTCGAACCTATCCGATACCTATTTCCCAAAACAGCGATCAATTGACTCGATGTGTTTGCGACCAAGGAGCCTGTAGTACCACCCCGACCCAACCCCCACGGCGCAAACGCTGAGCAATCCGATTTTACTCGATCCCGAGAACATCTAAACACCTAAACACCCGAGGCTTTCATTCACGATGGGCGGCAAGAAGTGGCGATGGGGTGTTATACTCGACGCCGGATCTTCCGGAACCAGGTTACATATCTACCGATGGAAAGACCCAGAGAAGGCGCTCAAGGGCGCATCAAAACATGATCTCGCCAGTTTGCCAAAATTGATGACAGAAAAGATATGGACGAAAAAGATCAGGCCGGGAATCTCGACATTTGGGGAGAAGGTTGACCAGGTCGGCCCGGATCACCTCCAGTCCCTGATTGACCATGCGCTCGAGATCATCCCCAAGGACAAGATCAGGGACACCCCGATATTCTTAATGGCGACGGCCGGTGTGCGCCTGCTTCCCGCGGTTCAACAATCAGCCTTAACGCGCGAGGTCTGCTACTACCTACGATCAAACACACAATTTTCGTTGCCAGACTGCGACATGCACATTCAAGTTATCAAGGGGGAAACAGAAGGATTGTATGGCTGGATAGCCTCAAACTACCTCCTTGGCGGCTTCGACAACCCCGATAAGCACCAGCATGGAAAAGGTCACCACACATATGGCTTCCTCGACATGGGCGGTGCCTCGGCGCAAATCGCCTTTGCCCCCAACGCCACCGAAGCAGAAAAGCACGCCGACGACCTCAAGCTCTTACGATTACGAACACTCGATGGCTCCCCTGTGGAATACAAAATATTCACCACGACCTGGCTCGGCTTTGGCGTAAACCAAGCCCGCGAATCCTACGTCGAATCTCTCGAAGATTTGTATCCATCTTCCTCCACCGAACTCCCGGACCCTTGCTTGCCAAAAGGCCTGAGAACCACCCTCGACGGTGTCCCGGTAAAAACCCCCAAGCCGAAAAATACCACCCTCATCGGCACCGGCCACTTTGACGAGTGCCTCAAGAAAACCTACCCCCTCCTCGGCAAAGACAAACCCTGCAGCGACAACCCCTGCCTCATCAACGGGCAGCACGTCCCCGCCATCGACTTTGACGTCAACCACTTCATCGGCGTCTCCGAATACTGGCACACCACCCACGGCGTGTTTGGCGGGAAAGACGACAAGGCCTACGACTTTACCACCTACCAAAAGAGGGTAAAAGACTACTGCAGCCAGGACTGGACGTCCATCTCGAAAGGGTTGAATCCGAAAAAGGAGCACGCCGCCAAGAATGCGCAGGAGGCGTGCTTCAAGGCGAGCTGGTTGATCAATGTGCTGCATGACGGGATTGGGGTGCCGAGGATAGGGATGGAGGATTTACCCCAGGTTAATGTGTCCAAGGGCACGCAGGGGGCGTTGGAACATGCGAAAGAAAAGGGGTTTTTGGAGCCGTTCCATGCGGTAGATAAGATTGATGGGATTGAGGTTAGTTGGACGTTGGGGAAGATGGTGCTTTACGCTGCTGGGCAGGTGCCGCCGAAGAGTGGGGATGATGGGTACCCTGTGGGATTTGGGAGTAATGTTGTGAGTGGGAAGGCGGTGCCGGATGATTTTCAGTTTGCGGGCTCGAGCTGGAGGCCATTGGGCGGTGATAATGGGAAGCACCATAATGGCACGGTGGGGGGGGATGACGATGACTGGGATTTGGACGCGGAGGATATTTTGGATCGGGCGAGGACGAGGGGAGGGCAGATGGGGTTTTGGGTGTTTTTGGGGTTGGTGGGGTTGGTGATGTGGTGGTTTAGGAAACGGGAGAGGAGGATGAGGGTTTACAGCCGGGTGAGGGGCTTGACGAGGCGGAGGAGGAGTCATACCGGAAAGTATGTACCTGGTGGGAATAGGAGTCCGTTGACGAAACTCACTACCAAGCTCTTTGGGGGGAGATCGTCAAGTGGGGGGGGTTATGAGAGGGTGATGGAGGAAGGGGAGCTCGATCGGTTTGAGCTGGGGGATGTTGCGTCTAGCAGCGGCAGTGGGGAGTATTCTGATGAGGACTCGAGCAGTGACCACTCCCGCGGATCGAAAGCCGGATCTCAGTTTGGGAGGAGCTCGGGCCTGGCGACGCCTACTGCTACGAGCGGGGGTGGGCTGGGTGGGGGGTATGGGTTTGAGACTGTGACGACGGTGGGAGGGGGGATGTCGGCGCTGAATAGGAGCGGGTTAGTGGTGAGGACGGATAGTAGGGAGCGGTTGAGCCTGCCGTTGAGTGGGGGTGTGGGAGGGGTGACTGGGAGGAGGAGCAGGGCGGGGAGTCCGACTAGGATGAAGAGTCCTTTGGGGGGAGGGATATCACCGCTGGATGACAGGTGATTTGTGTGAAGGGAGAGAGATGTGAAATGGGTATATGTGATATGGACTGCCTTTTTTTTTTTTGTGATGGAACATGGAAGAGATGTAGGAATGATGAATTGCTAGCGACTGGTTATTGGGTGTGGTATCACTTTTAGTATCTGTTTACTTTTCTTGTTCACAAAAAAGTCCTTTTTCGTTGTTTGGGATGGGCAAAGACATTTAGCATTTAGGAGTTTAGTATTCTTTCGATTCAAGGGATGCATTTCCATCGGATATTGCTTGACTATATTTGGCATGCTTGCGATTTTGTCATGTCTAGTTTTGGATTGTTCGGATATATATTTGTCCAAATACTCCCCATCACTCTATCCAGTCTATGCAATCCTGCACCGAGGCCCATGTCGAGGTTAATAATCCATACTTACTGCTAATTAGCCCAAAGTAGGTGCCTCTCCTACTGACTTCTTCCTGAACAATTCTTTTGGATGTAACATTATTCTATGAACCGAAAAAAAAAAGAGCAGCCCAGAACTCCCCCTAAAGACACTGGCTCCTTTGATGCACCCTCCAAACCTCCTTCTTCAGTTCATACACTTCCCGGCTAATTTCCCTCTGTCATCTAACCCCCATTCCTCAAAGCTCAATACCCTAAACATCCCTCTCAAGAAAAGCCGGATCAGCCCTCACCCTCCCCTCAAACTTCCTCCACCACTGCTCAAATGCCTTGATCGGCACCACCTCCTCCCCGTTGTGCATCCTGCCCGAGTAACTGCTCAAAAAGTTAAACGCATTGTTTATTATCCTCTGAGCCAGCTGCAACGTTTGTCCCCCACCATTACTCCCCGTCCCTGCTGCTGTTGGAACCAAAGCTTTGGACTGCTTCTCGGCCAACTCCTGCATCTTCAACCCGACGGCCGCCTCTGGCTCGACGCTTATCCCTATTGCCACCCCCTTGGACGTATCGTTGCTGAGTTTGAAGATTGCAGAGGGTTTCCCGTGGCCTAGGGCGCCGAGGAAGGCAATGTCGAATTCTTGACCGGAATTGGGGTCCGTGGAGGGAGTGAGGAGGTGGATTGCTGCTGCGTGGGCGGGGGGGAGGGTTATACCCGGCAGGAGGAAGACGACGATGTGGGAGAAGGGTTTTGTGTTGGGGGAGGGGGGGATGGAGTAGATGAAGGAGGTGTCAGACAGAATTTTTGTTGGGGTGGTTATGACGGGTTGGCCGGCGGGGACGAGGCCGAAGGTTTGGGACATTGTTGATGGGTGAGATATCAACACAACAAGCGGGATGAATGGTGGTGTGTGACGAGGCTGGCTACACTATGGGAGCATAACCCTGCCTGGGCTTTCAAAGTTCGGGATAATTCCGTCCGGTGGTTCGGGAGGATGAGTGGGGGTTAGGTTGCCAGTTGGGCTTTTGCTCAGGTGACTACCTGACAAGGTAGGTAGCCGTTTTGGGTGGTTTAATGCCGCCGGATAGAGAACCCGTGGGTTCGGATGGTTGGTAGGCCGAGGCTTGTGAAAGACGATCCTATCTTTTGCTCAGTGTGTGGTGGTTAATGACGAGATGCTGACGGATTGGGTGGTTCCACGGTCGATGTGTTTGGTAACCAATCGCAAGGCTCGAACTGGGTGCTCAACTCAGATCATGCGCTCTCCCAAATCGATAAAGCTGCTGTATAAGTGCCCAGGAGGTCCGCGTGTGTTCCCCGGCACATGCGAGGATTGGTGGTACCGATGGCTACACGAAGGCTTTGGTGAGGAGCTGTCGTTCGTGGTGGTCGTCTCAACTAGGGAAGCATGTATATGCAATGCAGATGAATGAGTGTTGTGTGAGTTGAATAGTTTGCCAGTATTTGTCAACGGTGACCGGGTTCAGGCTTATATGATCGGCCGGTAGACGTCTCGAGTTGTTCCTGGCGTGCTTCTAGTGCAAATAATCAATCAAATCAACCATGCTTCAAAGAAGTCGAATCCACAGAATCACCTTCCCAGTTCTAGAGCGCTCCACACAAAGGTGCCAAGACAAACTGGAAGATGTCAAGAACTCGAAGCATTTCTTGGACGCTGTGCTGTGCCGGCCCGCAGTGGGGTTCAGTTCAGTTGCAGCACTGCCAGCGGACGGCGGCGGGGGTGTCGCATACGCTTAGGTCACGGCCATCATCACCTCACTCACATATGCACCACTTCATCCCTCCATCACTCCATCACTCCATCAGCTCTGCCTCTCCTTGCAAATCGCAATCCCTGTTTTCCTGTTTTCCCGCTGGAGAAGGCCGTGAACCATGGATGCCACCCGGCGTTGGTCCTACTGGGGACCACCTGCAAGAGCCAGGTAGGATCCATCCGTCCATCTCTCATCATCCCTTACCTCTGCAAATCCAATCCTTGTCCCATTGTCCCATTGTCCGTCTGCCCGGCTGTCCGGGATGCACAGCGGGAGGGCTGTGATGAACGGGACTAACGTTTAGGACGGGAGGTAGGCCCGGTATCAGGCAAAGTCTTTTCCCACTTATATCAGCTTATATCTCGCATGTATCGCCGTTTGCTGGTTCTGCTTGGCTGTTCAGTTTGCCTGTCTGTTCTCATCATTATTATCATCATCTGGATCTTCGCCTGCCGTCTTTCTGATTTTCTGTTCCCTTCAAAGCTTGTTTCTTTCGACTCGGTTGTTAAAGTTGTTGCGAGATCGAGTCTTGGTCTCATTGCCGTGCAGCGCCGCGCACCGCACAGTCTTCGATCCACTTCTCCATTTAAACGGAACCCGAGTCTTGTCGTTGCAACTTCATCTTCACCGGCGCGCATCCGTCGCAAGAGAGCCATTGTTTCTCAGTCCATCTCCGAGACAGTTCCGAAAGTTACACGTGCTGAGCAGCCAAACTCGTGGCCAAAAAGCAATCATGACACAACAGCGGCTGGCCACCATTGACATGGTGAACGACTGTGATGGGTGAGTTCACAATACCCTATTCCGTGCAGCTACACACCCTTTTCTTCTTAGCAACGAGCTATTCCAGCCGGCGACCCTGCAGCTGGCACTACTCATCCAACCGGCCGCATTGAATGGATGTGCCGACGCCTATCATCATGCTTGGCCCCCAAAGCCTGCCTTACCGAGACGTTGTGTGACGTTGGCATCTGTGAGACCTGCCGGATCTGCCACCTCTGCCGCCACGCACGCGCGGGTCTAGATCTGAGACATATACACTTCACAGAATATTTTGACTAAACACCATGACGCAGCTTCCCCGACCTCGAGACGAACCCCAGAGGATACGCAGACCAGCTAAGCAGACTCTACACCCTCGTCTGGGAAGATGACCAAGGCGCCTTCCCTATCGGTTACCTCCCCATCACCGTCCTCGATGCCCTCAGAAAGACCCCCGCCAGTATCCGCGGCCGTCTCGATATCAACCCCACCGCCAGAACCGCCGCCCTATGGCAGAACCTCAAGTCCTACGAAGAGCGCACCAAGCAAGCCGCCCAACTGACCTCCTACTGGCGCAAGAACCAAACCTTCCGCCTCCTCAGAGGATGGCGTAACGAAATGTGGCCCGTCTACGGCCGCAACGGCGAGCTCCTCATGAGCATCGAGCGAGCAGCCATGGGCCTCTTTGGCACCACTCGCTACGGAGTACACATGACGGCCTACCTCCGTCGCAAAGACAACATGAGCGACTACGACTTCCGCATCTGGGTCCCCAAGCGCTCCAGCAACAAGTCAACCTACCCCGGCATGCTGGACAACACCGTCGCCGGCGGGCTCATGACCCACGAGGATCCCTTCGAATGTATCATCCGCGAGGCTGACGAGGAGGCGTCCCTCCCCGAAGATGTCATGCGCCGGAGCGCGGTGGAAACCGGCACTGTCACTTACATCTTCATCACGGATGAACGGTCAGGAGGAGAGCCAGGGTACATCTACCCCGAGTGCCAATGGGTCTATGATCTTGAACTGCCGTCTGATGGGAGCGTCGTCCCCAAGCCCAAGGATGGCGAGGTGGAGAGCTTTAGTCTACATACGGTGGAGGAGATCCAGGAGCAGCTTGCCCAGGGGTTGTGGAAGCCCAATTGCGCCATGGTCATGCTCGATTTCTTTGCGAGACACGGTGTCTACACTCCGGAAAACGAGCCATACTATGACCAGATTTGCGCCCGGGCCCATCGCTTCATTCCCTTTCCTGGACCACACTGGGATTACCAGCACCCTGATACGAGGTGTTGAAGAAGAAGAAGCTAGCTCCGTTTCTGGGTATCTCTTCTGTCATTGCCCCTATCCGCCAGCTTTTTTTTTGTTCCTGTCCATAAATTTGTTCCTTTTGCACCCTTAACGCCAGATTCCCCATGCTGTACTACTCCTTGTCTCTCTTCTTGCTTCTCGAAAAGGTCTTTGGTTGCGGGCGCGCTTGGAGAAATGGCTATTCCTTTGATAGATTTCATATTATAGACGCAAGCAAAGTCTTTCCCCTCTCTCGTTTAGCCAACATGAGCGCTCTCGTCCGATGGTGTGGTTTGCTGTCCATAATCAAGTTGATCATCGTCTGCGAACTAAGAGGTAGACGTATTCCACCCTCAACGGGGTGAGCTTCTTGTAAGGCCCGACAAGAGACATCAGCAGCCCGCCGAAGGAGATGTATGCCTTGCTGTATTTCCACTCGTGTCAGCCGTTACTTTCCATGTTACCAGTCGGCGAAACATACATAGTCTGCCCGTCCTCCCCATCCTCAAACTTGTAAATCTTGCCGTAGCAGACATAGTCGTACTGGTCGGCAAGCGAGCCCTCGCTCGCACCCATCTTGGCGACGTCGCGCCAGCCGCGCTCGTCGTCTTTGGTGCCGTCGTAGTGGAGGGAGGTGGCGATGAGCATGTTCAGCTCGTCGCCTTCCTTACAGGGGAAGAGCTCGTTGTTGATGTCGAGGGTGATCTCGATTGACTTGTCTTCCGAGGTGGCGTAGATGCGGTCGACGCGGTCGTATTTCTTGTCGGAGAGCTTGTGGACGCGGAAGTTGTCCTCGAAGAGCTGGGCGTCGGAGCCGAGGCCGGCCATTTTGATTGTGGTATTGGGGGGAGGGGGGGTGGTGGTGAAGCGAGGGTAAACGGGGTTGGCGAGAATAAAGCAATTGGTTGTGCTGGACGACTCAAGAGCTCTTGTGTGATGGGCCGGTGTTTGCTGGTTGCGACTGAAGTCAAAAAAATCCCAAGGCTGAAAACGACTAGCGCTCTAAGGTTTGGGGAAACGGGTGGGGGCCGCACGGGCAGGGGTCCCTGTCACTGAGGCTGGCGGCGGGGCTGTCCCTTGCAACTGATATCGAAACTTTTTGAGCTTATCGGTCACCAACCCCTCCAATTGACCCCTCCATAGCTTCCGCGACAGCTACACTTTTCGGACCAATCTTTAAACATGTCATTCGTCAAGAGAAATACAGTACTATCGTCGAGACCTGGGAGAGCCATCCCAGGGGCAAAGCAACCAGATGCCGAGAATCAACCACCACCGCCGGGTGTGAGACCGTCGCCGCTGGACGGTCGACCAACAACGTCTACCGGAACCGCATCGCTAGATCAACTCCTTGCTGGTCACAGTGGGTTACCACTAGGAACCTGTCTTTTGGTGGAAGAACAAGGGACGACAGACTTTTCAGGTATCCTACTCAGATATTATGCTGCCGAAGGCCTCGTCCAAGGGCACCAAGTACACCTCGTCGGCTACCCACCACAATGGAGGAGGAACCTCCCGGGCCTAGCCGAACCCGACAAGAAATCAAAGTCAGAACAACCACCACCGGCGCAAGAGGAAAAGATGAAGATTGCATGGAGATACGAAGCTCTTGGGAACTCAGCAGCGTCAGGAAATACCCCACGAGGAGATGCCAACCAGCCCACCTTCTGCCACTCGTTCGATCTCGCCAAGCGCCTCGAGCCAGCTGTTTGCAAAGGGTCACTCAATCCAACACCGAGCACTGGGCCACCTTTGTTTGATGCCAGACCTCAGCCAACGAGTATATCTCCTCTAAAAGCCATCATCAGACACCTGCAGACGAAGCTCGAAACCTCGCCCTCAAGCGATATTCACCGTGTGGTTATCCCCAGTCTTTTGCTGCCAGAGCTTTACGCACCACAATGCAGTCTTCCATCCGAAGTACTGCAATTCTTGCATGCTCTAAGGGCGTTACTACGAAGGTACAGCACCCAGCTGACGGCGATTATCACTCTACAAACGTCGCTGTACCCAAGGAGTTCAGGGTTGGTTAGGTGGATGGAGTTGCTGTGTGATGGAGTGCTTGAGCTGATTCCTCTACCGGCTACGCCTGGGGCAGCTCCTCCGTCAAGCTCATCTGAGAAGACAGAACAGGCACAGGGGCTGCTGAAGGCACATACGCTACCGATCTATCATGAGAAGGGAGGTGGTGGAGCCGAGACGAGCTCGTTTAGGGAGACTCTTTCGTTTAGCTTGAGTGCGACGAAGGGTCTTAATATCAAGCCTTATAGCTTGCCGCCTATGGAGGAGGAGGAGAACAAGAAGAAGAAGTCACCTGCTGATACGATCAGGGATGGGATTGACTTCTAGCCGAGGGCCATGGGTGCTTCGGACAGGCAGATATTGATCCCAATTTCTCCTACACTCGGGTCCTGACCTCGCCTTTGGTCCGACCTATCCTCACAATGATTGTATCGAGAACCATGGCCAACAAGAACTCGAGTTGAGGCACACTGCCCCTCAAAGACGGGACCATCGGGCCGATCAGTCATGACGCTTTGTGATCTATCATGCAGCTACTTTGCACTGCTGTGCGACCAACCTCACGATGCTGTGCTCTGGCAGCAGATCACATTTTGAAAAATGACAATGGCACATGACCGTTGGAACTGGGCTGCTTCAGGGGGCATCGAAATGCTCAGTGGTATCTTGAGTCTTGACAATTTCTCACAATTTTGGATCGAGAGAATTTGTGGCTTGCAATGTATGTACGACCGTTACAGCCCCCGGTGTAGCTAGTAGCTGATGAATAATAGGAGAATTGATAACACGCAAATTCACATGCTAAGCATGCTCTATAATTCACGTCCTCATTTCACAAACCTGCACCCGACGTCAGTCGAAGATGCTCACAGCACCAACCCTGACCCTAACCATCTATATCTGCCTGCACGGACCCCTTCTCTCTGGAAAATCAGCCAAGCCGACTTTTTCTGTTCTGGAATAGTGGAGCCCCACAAAATTTTCTGTCCCATAAATTTGCTTCTAAAGCGACTCACCTCCAGAACTCTTTTTTCTTCTCCAACGTTGCTGCTCTCTTCCTCAGAGCAGCATCGCCAAACACAAGGTATGTCGACTTTCATTTCTACTATCACCCCGCCTTACAGCACAACGAAGAGAGAGAAACCTCTTTTACATGATTATACAAATCTTCGTATCAATCTGTCAATCCACTGAATACTCTGTGATGACCGCGAACTAGTCCAAGGCTTATGATATCTGGTTCTCTCTCTTCATTTTTTGTTATGTACAAAACCATTCAAAGGAGTTTCTTTCTAACTTTCTTTACAGATCAGTGTTGTTTCAAGATGGCCACCTCTACCTCTACCCCAACCCACCCTCCTGTCCGGATCTCGCTGATCGCAGGCCGGTACCTCGTCTTTGACATTGACGCGGTGATGGTCCTGAGGCGGAGTTTTGGGCTCTGCGGGGTGCTGACGGGCACGATGCCGCAGAACCCTACGCAGAACTTGTTTCTGAGTATGCCGCAGGAGCTGAGGGCGGAGGAGGCGAGGTTGGTGGTTGATAGAGGGGCGGGGTATGTTGCTGATGAGGCGGGTGATCATTTGAGGCTTCTCAAGGAAATGAGCTCGGGTGTAGGGGAGAAGAGGAGGGAGGGGTATTTGAGGGAGCTGAGGGAGAAGAGGGTGGCGGCCAAGAGGCTGTTTGATGAGGAGAAGGAGGCGGTGAGGAGGATGCATGAGGGTAAGAGGGGGAAGGGGAAGAAGAAGGTGCAGAAGGTTGAGGAGGGTGGTGGTGGTGGTGACTCGCTTTTTGAGACGGCGACTGCTGTGCAGCCTGCGCCCGAGGAAGCCCTTCCTGCCATTACGCCTTCGACTAGCAATGCGATGCTTGATCCGGCGGGCACTAGTGGTGCTATTGCTGATGAGAACTTGCCTGAGCCGTCTGCTTTTTATAGGGAGCTGAACAAACGAGGCTATTTCACCACGCCGGGGCTCAGGTTTGGTGGAGGGTATTCGGTTTATCCGTCTGATCCGTTCAAGTTTCATGCTCATTATTTGAGTAGCTGTTATGGATGGGATGAGAAGATTCCGATGTTGGATATTGTTACTAGTGGACGGCTGGGGACAGCGGTGAAGAAGAGTTTTATGTTTGGGGCGGAGAGGGAAGAGGAGGAGGGAGGGAAGAAACGTGGGGAGGGGGAGGTGAGGATGTTTTGTGTTGAGTGGGCGGGCATGTAGATGTGTTTCGAAGCAATGATACCCTTTTTAATTGTGTGTTGTATCTTTTGTTCTTGAAATGTGCTGCTCTTGATGAAAACATGATGTGGGATGGATGAAGATGTCGAATCCAAGTCGGTTGACTTCTCGAGGCCCTGGTAGTGTCTGAGTAGCTCGTTGATGCTGGGAAGTAGACGGTCCCGAGTCAAAATACACCTCCATCACCATGTTTTCTTGCTCGGCACCTGAAACATGACAACTTCGGCATGTAGGTAGGTAATCTTGATCACCCAGATATTGACAGGATGGAAATGCTCAAATTTGTACTTTCTGTATGAGAACTCTTTTCACAAAAAAAAAATTAAAAAGGAAAAAGACCAACATCATCAACCGCAATCTCGCTCTCTGGACATAGATGTGTAAACCACCTCATGTAATCCCACCACAAAATGTAAACGCCTTCTTCCCATAACAAGATCCGTATTAAAAACAATATCCCCCCTGCTCTCACCTGATTTTACCCCCCCCCCCCTCGCTGTTTATCCCCCCCTCAAGGAACATAAATCCTACTAAAACTACTCACCTCCCTCCTACAGCAAACACACTTGTCATAATTGTTCATCGCCAAGCTCACCCTGGCAATCATCACAATACCCCAAACACCTACACGGCCACACAATAATCGTCCTCGGCGCGCACTGACAAACCACACACTGCGGCCCCTCCGCCCCCAACCCCGCCCCCCCTTCCTTCCATGACTCCTGCCCCCCCCTCGCCTGCGCCTCCGACCGCCGAGTGAGAAGCAGCTGCTCAAGCTGTCTTTCCTCCTCTTCTGGACTCATCCTCTGCAGCGGGTTGCCACGGTTAAGGGTGGTGAGCAAAATCTGCGCTCGCTGCCGCTGGAGCGCTTGCTTGTACTTGGAGCGCGTCATTATCGTGCCGGAGGATAAATGGGCGGCCAGGGTCTGGGCTTCGTCTCGGTCGGCGGCGGACTGGGGGTGTAAAAGTCGGGCGAGGGTGGTTGGGTCGATGGGGGTGTCCAACACGGGGGAGGGTTCCCTTGATCGCTGGAGGGCAGAGACGAGAGCGGAGGTGAGCTCGGTGCCGGGGTTTTGCTGCGTGGGTGTTCGCTGCCCGTCGTCAAGCCAGTCGTTGTTGTTGTCATTGTCAGTCTCCCAGCCAAAGTCACTCTCGATAGAGGTCTCTGTCGTGGAGATCATGCTTGTCGTGTCAAAGTCAGGGTCGTTGACATCGATCTCCTCGTTGCCGGCCGTGATCAAAGGGTGGGAGGGGACGTATTCCCCGCTGGTGTCCTTATTCCCCCACCAGCCATCCCGCAAGAAGTAGCTGTAGAGCTTGGTGTCGACTTCTGCCTCGTTGCGGTTGTCCATCCTACTTCTGAGCAGCTCCTCCACATCAACCTGGTCGTCCCGCGGAATCGTAAAATAACCCCCATTGCCAGGAGAAAGAATATCAGCATACGACTCCCCATTCTGTCTCGAACTCCCCTTCTTATCCCGCCCGTCCGACTTCTTCGGCCGTTCAGACAACCCCCTCAGCCAACGCGGCGGGTTCCTCCAACCAACAAACCTGAGAAACCTGACCGTACACAATGCCCAAGTAACCACCACAAGACGCGAAATATGCATCATGTAATCAACCGCCATGAGCCACCTGGAACTCCTCTCCGCAGCCCCAACCCCATCCCTCTGTCTCCTGCCAGTACCGTCCTTCTTGGAAACCTGCTGCGCCGACTTCTCCCTGGCATACCCATTGTTGACCCCCGGCTGTCCATTTTTAACCGGCACAAGTCCTATCGTGCCGACCGTATCAAACCGAGATCCAGGAACGCCTCCGATCCACTGCATCTTCAGGTCCTCAATCTCACGGAACCGGTCCTCTTCCAGCCAGGTATACCGCTTCAAGTTCACCTTGTGGTCCTCATTAAGATAAACCGCCTCGCTAGCCATGGTGATGGCACCAAAGCCAGCCCGGACCAGCGCGGTGTAAAAGTCCATATCCATCCTAATCCGGATCTCGGAAAGTGAAACGTTTGCCTGCATGTTGGCATGAGCACGGAGGAAGCGCTGCTTGAAGGTAAGCTGTTCCGTCTCGCCGCCGGTCCCAGCCTCGGGCACAGCGAGAGCGGAAAGTGTCAGGGCCACGAAGTAAATGACCGCACAGGAAATGATGCCAATCAAGATGAGAGTGTGAGGAATGATTCCGATGATGTACACCGTGGGATATCTCAACAGCCCCTGGCTGGTAGGATCGTCAACAGAAAAGTTGATGGTACTCCAAACCATGCACCCCATTGAGCAAAGCCCATAGAATCCGGTACTGATCAGACGGAATCTTGGCTGCAAGTTCAGCAATCCCAATATGTGGCTAGTGACGTAGCTCATGGTTGAGATAAAAGTGACCAGCAATACTTCAGGGGGTGTGTTGACGCGCTTCATGATCATGGCACGTGTGAGGGCAATCTTGGTGCCCATGTTCGCATCCGCTGCTGCTTTAGAAGCATTGGAGGCGAAAAGACCCCATCCGAGCTGGCTGCTGATAGCAGCATCAGCTTCTGCAAAAGCCAGAGACTGTTCAAAAAGCGTTGTGCCCGTCTCGGTGCCCGTCGGGCGTCCCTGTACAGTGCACGAAAGCACCTCCATAAACTGGCCAAAGCAAAACGTCAGGAAAAGTGGCCATAATCGGGAGAGCGAGCCAACGAGCTCCGATTGTTCCTGATTATCCCATGGTACCATCCGGACAGAACGGCATGAATCCTCGTCGCTGGCACCGAACAGCAAAGTTGAGCTCAGTCCATGGAAAAAGCTGTTTGCTTCGGAGAACATAACGTCGAAGCTCTTGTTAGGATCGCCCCACCGCAACTGGGCGAAATCCGGAGAGGTCTGGCACTGAATGGACTGGAGAAGTCTGCGAGCCTGCCAGAGCAGGAGCAAGATGGTTGGGAGTCGAAGCAGCACCCGGATATGCCATGCAAGTCGTAAACGACGCCGAGTCGCGGCAAATATGTGCGTCCGGTTAAAGAGGATAGCCATCGCAATGCAAGTTATGGCCCATTTGCTTGTCGCGTAGCTCAAAACGCTCCCAATTCCTCTCGCTCCCTCCATCGAGAAGCGGGATACCGAGGCGGTAGGATCTTCAGCAGCAGCAGAGGCGGCGGCGGCGGCGGCAGTGGCGGAAGAGGATGCGACGTCGCTGAGTATGCTGGCTGTCGTGCTGCTGGTCGAGGACGAGAGTGCCGACGAAAAGACACCGGCATCGGTGGGATCGGCCATGGTTCGTTGTCCAAAGTTGTCAACCGCATCTGGAAACGAGATAAAAGAGCCCAGTTTCCCCAGCTTCATGACCATCCTTGGTCCTGCCAACACCAAGTCTTCCAGCGACGGCGCGAGCCTCGACATGTTCATACTCATCTTGAGATGCTGAGTTGTCCATAGTGTAAAGTTATGCCACGCACTGGTGTTGTCGAAAGAGGGTGTGGCGGTTGCCATGACGGCTTGTGGTATCGTTTCGTCCATGGTAGGCTTATATCAAAGGATCTCGGACCGCCGGAAACGAGGTGAAAGAGTAGAATAGCGTACACAGCGTGTGTGTAAGCATGCGCCTGCTCACCGGGTCTCTTCGCGCATTTTTGGAGCAAAGATGACAAGATGGGGAGCCCCAAGAACTTGGAAGAGAAGAAGTTGGGAAGTGTTGAAGAGGAAGGGAAATGACTTGTTGGTTCCTTGGTCGGAGTTGCCCAGTGTGTTGCTGCACACCGTGACGCTGGTTCAGCGGGAGAAGCGGGATGCATGCGCCCTGGAGGTGGTTCTCCAGTGGGGCAGTCCCCGCGCCAGCTGCAAGGACGCTAGGACCATGTGTCTAGTGCCCACCAAGGCCCACTTTGTTTTGGCACCGTCTCCAATCTCCAACTTCATGTCTTGTCCTCCAATCATCAAAAAACCTTTCCGAGTTCAACCACAACATTCAACATTTGCAAACAAATCAGCAGTTGCTGCCTGATCATAAACATCATCAACAAAGATAAAAAATGGCTTCAGGACAACAGCCAATCGCCACGTATGTGTCATTGCACTCCGACACATACAAGGCATCAGCCATCTCAGGTATCGCGTCGCATTGGAATTAACTAACACAATCCTCTATCGCATAGTGTCTACGTGCGCAACCTCGAAGAGCGCGTCAAGCCCGAACCGCTCAAGGAAGCCCTCATGGTCATCTTCTCCGAGTACGGCAATGTGATCGATATCGTTGTTAAGACCAACCTCAAGGCCAAGGGCCAGGCATTTGTTGTTTTCGACAAGCCCGAGTCCGCCCTCACGGCTATCGAAGAAGTCCAGGGGTTCGAGTTGTTCGAGAAGCCCATGCAAGTCGCCCTTGCCCGCACTCGAAGCGATGCCACCGTTAAACAGACCGGCAACGAGGAGGAGTTTGATGCCCACAAGCGCCGGCGCATGGCAGAGAAGGGTATGCCCTCGTTAACATTTCTCCGTTTTGAACTTGGTTTTAACATGAATTATCAATAGACAAAAAGAAGGCGCTCGAAACAGCCGAAGAGCAAAAGCGCCTCAAGCGTCCTCTTCCAGGTGCCGAAACCGCCGTCAGTGGCCGCCCAACCAAGAACGCTCGTGGTGCCGGCCTCAAGTCCACCGGTGCTGGTGCCGCCGCTGTCGTACCCGATGAATACCTCCCACCCAACCGCATTCTCTTCGTTCAGAACCTCCCCGACGACTTTGGCAAGGACGAGCTCACTGGTATCTTCAGCCGCTTCGAAGGTTTCCGCGAAGTCCGTACTGTCCCTGGTCGCAGCGGGATTGCTTTCGTCGAGTACGACGCAGAAGCCGGGGCTATTACTGCCAAGGAGAATACTGCTGGCATGGCGCTGAAGAATGGCGAGAAGACGATGAAGGTCACGTACCAGCGCCAGTAAGCTGGGGGCTGGAGTTGAGGTACCACATATAACTGGTTTGATAGGTAAAGTAGGATGTAATGCTCCGAATGGTACAGGTTTAGCGTAATCGGCTCATTGATGCCTCAGCGAAGGGAATTAGAGATACCCAATGAAATAAAAACATGGAAACAAGCAACTCCCGGATTGCGCCTATGCCTAATGAAACAATGTGCTGACCAATGACTCTAACCACGCCCTTCCAACATGCGACAGTGACAACAACGCTCGATGGTCCAAGACCAACAACTCCCTTAGAAGATGACATCTTCATCCTCCTCCGCAGCCAACAGATCAGCTGGCGCGTCGTCCGCCGCGGCATTTGGCGCTTGGTTCTGCTCATCTGCAGCTGCAGCTTGCGCTTCTTTCCTAGCCTTCATCTCGGCATCTTGCTCAGCTGTGTCTCGCTGTTTCTTGCCGGCAACCTTCTTCAGTCTGTAAAACTCCTCTCTGTCCAGCTCGTCAAGCTCCGAGTTGATATCTGGGAAAGTCAGTACAGTCCATCTAAAACAGGGTGGAGTTCCACTTACACTTGATGGTATTCTCCGTCCTGGGAATAATGACATGCTCACTAGGCAAATGTTAGCACCCCAACCCATCCCATCCACTCTCAAAAATCTCAGGTCTGTCACTTACATGGCATTCACTCGCCTGTTCACCACCTTGATGACCTCGTCCAAAATCACGAACGCCGTCTGCAAGCTCGCCAGCTCCACGAGCGCCTCCACCGCCCTCGCATACGTCTCGCGACACCGCTGCACCTGCTGACCTCCCTTGCCGAGACCCGTCATGGCAAAGTCGTTGTTCCCCTCGGTCTGGTAGCTCTCAAACGCGGGGAGGAGGACGCCCGAGACGTTTTCCTGCTTGGCGCGGATGCGGAAGCGGGCGGATTTGGCGGATTCCTGGATTTGGTACCCTATGTTGCCGCCGACGGCGTAGGTGACTTCGGCGAGGGAGAGGGAGGCGATTTGCATTACGCGGCCCATCTTGCGCTTGGCTTCGTCGATGCGGCGGGTGATTTCGCGGAAGCGTCTGGGGGGGGGGGGGGG